GGGCGCGACGGTAATGTGGGGCCGGGATCCCCCAGCGCTGCGGGGGGAATGGGGGCAGTGCGTATGGAGTGGAGGCACGGTGGTGGTACAGGGAGGGTGATGATGGCACAGGGATGGTGATGGCAAAAGGACAGCAGTGGCATGAGGATAGGGGTGGCACAGGGATAGCAATGGTACAGGGATGGTGATGGCATGGGGACAGCAGTGGTATGGGAACGGCGGTGGCAAAGGGATGGGGGTGGCACAGGGACTATAGTGGCACGGGGATGGGGATGGCATGGGTGCCACAGTGGCACGGGGATGGCAGCAGCACGGGGACAATGATGGCACAGGGACAGCAATGGTACAGGGAACGCAGTGACATAGGGATGGCAGTGGCGTGAGAACAGGGGTGGCACAGGGGCCATAGTGGCATGGGGACAGGGGTGGCACAGGGACAGCAGTGGTACAGGGATGGTGGTGGCACAAGGACAGCAGTGGTATGGGGGTAGTGGTGGCAAAGGGACAGTGATGGCACGGGGACAGCAGTGGCATGGGGACAGTGATGACACAGGGACCACGGTGACACGGGGACAGCAGTGCTACAGGGCCAGTGGTGGCATGGGGACCACAGTGGCCACCTCCTCCTGCACGTGCCACCATCCCTCATGTCCCCACAGCCTCATCCCTGAGGTTTGGGGACCGGCGGTGGTGACAGTGCCCCCCAACTGTCCCCTCCCATCCTCAGGGCCACCTCCCGGCCCCCTCGGCCCCCTCAGGCCCCACCACCCCACAGTCCCTCAAGCTGACTTACCCCGAGACCTTGGATCGCATCAAGGAGGAGTTCCAGTTCCTGCAGAACCAATACCACAGGTGAGGCCGGGGGGTGGATGGACGCCATCTGTCCGTTGGTGGCATCGATGGGGCGGCGGTGCCAGGAGGTGACACTGTGTCGTACGGCCCCATTTGGGATGCAGGTGCTCAGCCCTGGGATGTGGGAGCAGATTTGGGGGATGGGGGGGGGGTCTCTCTGATCTTTCATCTGTGATTATGTTTTATTTCTACAGCCTGAAGTTGGAATGCGAAAAGCTGGCGACGGAGAAAACCGAAATCCAGCGACACTACGTGATGGTCAGCGAGAATTTCCTCTGAACTGCCAGAGTGTGACCCCCCCACACCCCCCATAGCCGGGTTATGGGGCTGCCCCTGTGACCCCCCCCACCCCCACAACGGATATTTTGACCCAAAATGAGCCGCATCTGAGTGCTGCAGCTCGTGGGCAGGGTGGCAAAATTGGGGTCCCCCCACCCCATCCCAGCTGTAGGATCCCCCCCCCGCTGCCCCACTGATGCTCTGCTCTCTCCCACAGTACTATGAGATGTCCTACGGGCTGAACATTGAGATGCACAAACAGGTGAGCCCACCTGGGGGGGTCACCCAACCCGCTTCCCCCCACCCCCAGTCCACCAAAAGCCCACTTTGAGGTCTGCACCCCATGGCCAAGGCGGGGGGGGGGGGGGGGGCGCTGCCCTGCCTCCATGGGCATTTAATTCCCAGCTTTGTGCTGCTGCTGGGAGGAGAATCATGCGGCCAGGTGGGAAATATTCCCTTTTTTTTTTGGAAGGGGGGGAAGGAAGCAGCCCTAAAGCCACCTCCCTGCATGGAGCAGCACGAGGGGCGGTGGCAGCACTGGTGGCCATGGGGGGGGGTGGGCTGCTGGGGGGGAGGGGGGGCTGCGAGCAGCGCGATCGTTTTTCATGCTGAGAGCGTTAAAGTGCCACTAAATTGCACATTAACGAGCGCGAGTGAATTGGAGGCAGCTCTCCCCGAGGAGCTGCTGCCCATCAGTGCATTAGGGGAGAGAATCCATCACTGGCGGCCCCGGGAGGCAGCTAAATCCTTCCCAGAACCGCCGCCTGCCGCCGTGCTGCTCGTGCTGCTGCTGCTTTGCCTCCTCTTCTTCTTGCCTTTTCTCTCCTCTTTTTTCCCTCCCTCAGAAGGGAGGGTGGTGCTGAGGGTGGTGGGGGTGGCAGAAAGGTGTTCCTGCCATCTTCTCCGTCATCCCGGGGCGTCCCCCATCTTGGTGTCCCCGTTATCCCAGTGTCCTCACTGTCCTCGTGTCCCCCATGCTGATGTCCATCATCCCAGTGTCCCTTCCGTCTCAACATTCCCTGTTCCGCCATCCCCATCATCTCGGTGTCCCCATCATCTTGGTGTCCCCCATCTTGGTATCCCTACCCTGGTGTCACCCCTCATCTCAGTGTCCCCCATCATCCTGGTGTCCCTCCCCATTTCGATGTCCCCATCATCCCAGTGTCCCCATCATCCCAGTGCCCCCCATCTCAGTATCCCTACCCTGGTATCCCCATCCCATTGTCTCTTCTCCCAGTGTCCCCCTCATATTGATGTCCCCATCATCCCGGTGTCCCCCCATCTCAGTATCCCCATCCCAATGTCCCCATCATTCTGGCGTCCCCTCCCTACATCTTGATATCCCCATCCTTGTGTCCCCGTTATCCCAGTGCCCCCCCATCTCCAAATCCCCCATCCCAGTGTCTCCCATCCCACTTCTCCCATCCCAGTGTCCCCCTCATATCGATGTCCCCATCATCCCAGTATCCCTACCCTGGTATCCCCCACCCCAGTGTCCCCCCTCTCTGTAACCCCATCCCAGTGTCCCCATCATCCTGCTATCCCCATTATCTCCCCGTCCCCCATCTCATTGTCCCCATCCTGGTGTCCCCACATGGCCTGGGCCACGCTGCCATGGCACTGCAGTGTCAGTGCTGTCTTGGGGGCGAGGGGGGGGGAACTTGGGGTCCTCGTTGGGGTGATACGGGGTTCGATGGGCGGTGATGGAGCTCCCCGCTCCTCCCTGGGCTGTATCAGCTTCGGGGGTCTGAGCATCCAGGCTGGACACTGGGGAGGGGTCTCAGTGCCCCTCAGTGAGAGGAGTTCAGCCATAGGGACGATGGGGAGGGGGTGTGGGGGGGTCTCACCCTGCCGGTCCCTCTCCTCCTTTCCTTGCAGACGGAGATCGCCAAGCGGCTGAACGTCATCTGCGCGCAGCTCATCCCGTTCCTATCGCAGGAGGTGGGTGTCCCCACACCGAGGGGGGGGCTGAGCTCCCATCGCAGACCCCAAACCCTGCACACCGGGCTGGGGGGAGCCCCTCTCCATCCCCCCCTCTCCCCTCCCCAGCACCAGCAGCAGGTGGTCCAGGCGGTGGAGCGTGCCAAGCAGGTGACTATGAGCGACCTGAACGCGGCCATCGGGGTACGTCGACCCTCTGCCCCCCCCCCAACCTCCCTGCTGGGCACCTGCAGGTGATGGTGGCACCGTCCCAGGGCTGCGGACCCCCATTTTGGGGGCACCCACAGCCCCCCCAGAGCCGTGGGGAAGCACAGCCAGGCTGCAGTGGGGACCAGAGAGCAGTAAAGGGGTTGGGAGCGTAGTGGCATTGAAGTGTGGGGGTGCCGTGCCCTGGGGGGCCGTAGGGAGGGGTCACCAGCATCCTTGTGTCCCCATCTTTCCCTTGAGACCACAGTGCTGTGGATGTGGGAGGGGTCTGAGGGCAGCGCCCCACCAGTCCCAGGAGGTGGCAGTGGGTGGGATGTGGTGCCCCCTCCACAGGCCTGGGGGTTCCCTGGAAGCCCGACCCCCTTCCAGCCCCCTCCCATCATCCTCCCCCTGACCCCGCGCCCTTCTGCTCTGCTCTCTCCCCTCACCTCCCCCCTCCAGCACCAGCTCCAAACGCAGCACCTCTCGCACCATGCCCCCCCCATCCCGCTGACCCCCCACCCCTCTGGGATGCAGCCCCCCACCCTGGCCGGGCTGGGCAGCGCTTCGGGGCTGCTGGCGCTTTCGGGGGTGCTGGGGGGGGCCCAGCTCCTCACCAAGGATGACCGTGGGGTCCACGACGGCGAGCACAGGGGTGAGCTTGGGGGATCCAAGGGGGGACCCGGAGGGGGGCACGTAGGGAGGATGCTTCCCTTCAGGCTGGGAGCGGGGGAGTGGGAGGTGTCCCCCCCTCCACGTGGCACCTCTTGGAGGTGGTGGGGAGGACTCAGCCCGGGGGGGTCGGGGACGTCCCCAAGGCTGAGCTGGGGGTCCTGGTACCCACGGGAGGAGCACAGCCGTGTCCCTGCTTCATCCCGGTCCTGCTGCGCATCCGCATCACCATGGAGACAGAGCGAGACCCGGGTCCTGTAAGTGCCTTTCCCATCCCCTCCCCATCCCCTTTCCCATCCCTTTCCCTTCCCCTTTCCCAATGTCGTGTTGGCAGACCCCCCAGCAGCATCCCCACCCCCATTCCTTCACCAACCTGCAATGTGGGGTGGGGTGGGGGCTGCCATGGGACCCCCTGCCCCTAACACTGCCCCTAACACTGCTCCATTGCCCCAGAGCTCTCTGGTGCTGCCCAACGGGGATCGGGCACGAGCCATCTCTGAGTACCTGAGCAGCAGCAAAAAGAGGAAGGTGGAGGAGAAGGACTTTGTGACAGACTATGTGAGTGCAGGGAGGGAACTAGGGGGGCTGGCACGTCCCCACTCCCCCCGGCCGGGCACCCACAAGCACCCATTGCCGTGTTGTAGGGCAGCGATGCGGACAAAAGCGAAGACAACCTGGTGGTGGATGAGGTCAGTGCAGGAGCTGCAGGGATGGGATCGGGGTGATGCCCCCCATCCCTGCTCTGCTGATGTCTCTCCCCCCACAGGACCCCTCATCCCCACACAGTGTCCATTCCTACTCCTCCCGTGAGAACGGGTTGGAGAAGCTGCCGCTGGGACGGAAGGAGCCGGCGCCGCTCAGCCCCACCTCCATGGCCTCCTCCAGCAGCGCGTCCCCATCGCGCAGCAAGGATGCAGCCATGGTAGGAGCACCACGCTGGTCCCATAGGGCCCTGGTAATGCTGGGCTCCCCACTGCATGTCCCATTGGGTGACCCCTCGGGCCCGCCAGGTGTCCCATGGGTGTCAGTGCTGCTGCCCCTCACCCCTGGAGTAAAGGGTGATGGTTGGAGATTGAGAGGGCTCCCCTTGTAGCGTGCTGGGTTTAGGGATGGGGGAATCACTGAGGGCATTGGTGTGGGTGGAGGACAGGACGTGACATTGTTCTGCCCCAATAGGTGGAGAAGGCAGGGACACCCAGCCTCAAGTCCAGCACCCCCACATCTCAGGGCGATGCGGCAGCGCCAGGATCCAGCAGTGCCCCACAGTTCCGCCCCACTGCAGCCAAAGCCCCCGTGGACTCCCTGGGTGAGCATCGCTGAGCACCGAGCACAGCCCCAAACCCGCGACCCCGTCCTTTGACACCACCTCTCCCCACAGCCCTGGGCCTGAGGACCCCGCTGGGCGTGCAGAGCCCCTACTCCTTCAGCATGGCTCACCCTGCTGTCAATGGGGACATGGCTGGGGCGGGTGCCTATGCCAGCCTGCACCTCGTGTCCCCGCAGCTCAACGGCACCGCGGCCGCCGGCAGCTATGGCCGATCCCCGCTGGTGCGTTTCCCCCCTCCCAGTGGGGCTGCGTGGCTTTGGGGAGCTGTGCTCACCCCGTGTGCCCTGCAGGTCGGCTACGACCCTCACCCTCACATGCGTGTGGCAGGGCTGGCGGCCGGAATGCAAGTGGGGACATCGGGGAAACCGTAAGTGGAGATGGAGGGACGGAGGGGACAAGAAGGGGGGGGACGGGACGTCGCCATGGCAGCGCAGCAGTGGGGACGGCCCTCTGTGGGGCGACGCCGGCTGTCCCCTCCCTGCTGCACCGTCCCCATCGCCGCTCCTCTCTGGCCCCGCCGTGGCACCGCGCGG